GTGTTGTTGTTGTTGTTGTTGTTGTTGTTCAATACTAGCTGTTTACTGTACCTACACTAGGCCCTACACTACAGTACAGTGCTGTATAGACTATAGATTTAGATTGTCAGGCATGTCACGCGCTGTAACGACTCAAAATCAGGTGCATTATCCAAACTACGTTTGTGAAAATTCTGGAGTACACGTAACACGGTATGACTCTCTACGATGTAGTAAGTCTACAGTATTGTCACTATTGTCATATTGATATCGGCACTCCGTTCGGCTTCGCCTTTGCCAACGCAATCGCGGCAATGGCTTTGGACCACGGACATGTTGACGTTGTGTCCCGTTCCGAGACCGAGAACAGGCTGAACTTTTCACACACAAAAAGCCTTTACAATACTTTAACTTTAAGAAGTTTAGAGTTTATACCTCGAGCAGAAATATTTCTTCAGTTCTGCTATTTTCCAACCACCTGTCAAAATCCTGAACGAGGACGTCCAAAACACCGATGTTTACGGCCGCCATATTGTAACAACAACGGCGGGAACGCGTTTTAACTGAGTAAGGCGTTTTAGCATAGCTAATGAAATACACACACATGCACGGGCTCAGGGATAGAGAAGATGTGCACAGTTTGCCGGAATGATGCAGGAGATTTCGTGCTTTGGTTAATTTCGTGCACAGGTAGCAGGGCTTTATACCTTGTACAGACTACGAATTTGATATGGTATTAAACTAGCGTGCGCCAGGCCCGCGCCAATTTTTTTGCAGTGTGTATACACGCTATCCCTCTGCAAAGACGCGCTGGCCCGCTCCAATTTGGCCCTGCAAATGAAGGAAGGCCAGGCCTGGGATAACTTAGCCTAGGATAAGTTATCCAGCACCAAGCTGTGTCTGTACGCAACAAGCGGGCCAGACCCGGTGCTAAATCGCAGTACGCATGCGCAGCGCTAGAAACTTGTGAAAATTCCAGCTAGCCGGATATAAAAATTTGGGCCAGTGAGAATTGATATCCACTGGCCCGAAACAAAACTTATCGTAAGCCCAGTGAGACATTTTCTCCCGCAAGAGGCCGCTTCTTAGGATAGCTTAGTCTGGTTCCGCTAACTAAATTGTTAATGCAGTATAGTGAAATACAGCGGGTACCAGTCTAAGCATGTATGAGATCTGAGAGACTGTGTGTCATCTTACATGAAGAGAGAACAACAACATGGCTGCGCCCAGCTGTAAGGTTTTCCGTGCATGCAGCTGCATAATTTGTGTTTGAGAGGGGAAAAAATTATTATTTGGGTTTTTCTGATACTCAGCCAACTGAAATTTGAGGCGATGTATATAATATATTGCATACAGTTGGCAAAAAGGTAATTGCCCAGCAGTTCATTCTTGGGCGACTGGGGATGAGTGTTTAGGCAAGTTTCACTCGCCCGACAGCCAGTGTTCGAAATTCACGTCGGCCCGTCGGCCCGCCGCCGGCAGTTTCGATGCCGGGCCTACAGCTTCTTGATCAAACAAGCCCGCTGATCCTACAGCTATTTGATCACCGAAAATTCGAAACACTGAGAAACTGCTACCTGTAGAAATCTGTTCATGCATATTAACTTCCAGGCGTATTTATTTGAAAACTAATCCGTGATAAACCGTGACATACATGTAAACAATGCGTTCGCCCACTGCAATCAACTTTAGTTGGCATTCAAGAAACGTGCGTGGGATGTTCGGACGCACAGGTTAGCACAGGTTCCTGAATCCAGTAGCAGCGTTGGCAAAAATCGATAAGAAGTGAGTGATGGCTTATTTCTGGCCAGTGTAGCGAAATCTTTAGCATAGTGGCTGTGGCGGACCAGGGTTTCATTTACGTGCACACACAGGCTCGTGCAGCACCGCTCAACTGCTCACCAAGTCGCTAGGCGGATATAATTTGAGTACATTCGCACATCCCGCCCACACATCATTCACGTTTTGGATGTAACAATAATACAAGTATCCAACTGGTAGTCTTATACAACCGATCAGTATCACTGGTTTTAAAATAATATTAAGATAAGACTTTAGGTAATATACGGCTCATGGTGGAGAGTTCTACAGTAAATAATAATAATGTTCCTCATCATTTCTTAACATCACATGTCATAAGTCACGTAAGGCTGCAAAGCACCCGTCGTATTATACCGTTACTAGTCCATACGCAACAGCCAAGTGACACCTCATCGCAAAGCCACTTCAGGTTCTTAAGGCACCCGTAGCATGATTTGTTTTAACGTTTGGAAAAATATCACTGACATTTTATACAGGGTTAGCTAAACTACCAACAGACTTTCCTACGTAAGAGCATTGATTATGTCCTAACAAATAACATTGTAACTTTTGAACAGGCACTCACACAGCACGAATTCGCCAGTTGCCCATGCACAAATTTTACACTAATTATTTTCCTTTCTCCGTCACAAAAATGTGTTGCTAGTTTAATGTATATCCAGAGTACCCGCCTGAAATGGCCTAGATTGCATCATCAGAGCTTATAATTTTCTAGAAAACGTTCTTGCCCCCTCCGCCAGACCGCATGAAGAATCCCGATGTGTAGCTCGCGAGACTACGCAGTTCTGTCTCTCATGCTGTCAACGTGGCAGAGTCGTAGTTACGCGACGAGGCTAAACATATACACGAACCGGATGTCCGGTCTTCTTATTGTGCAGCCGCCCCCGACAAAAACGCATAAACGGTCACCTCCCGACGAGAAAGAAGGAAACACAAGAGGCGATTATGATTAGTGACATTGATAATGACTAATAAACACCAAAGGGAAGAACATGATATGTCTATGTTTATTAGCTTGTAAATTTGCTCCCAAAATTGTGCGGGGCCTACAGCTGTCGGGCTGGCGGGCCTGCAGCTTTTTAGGAGCCTATAAGACCTGCAAGGGCCGTACTCACTTTTTCTGCTCAGTGGCAAACACTGCGACCAGCCCTTTTTAGGTCGCCTTGTGCCGACCGTGCGGAACACCGGCCTCTTCTCGAGCTGCACTCAGTATTAGTACGCCATTATTCTAGGTCACTTAATTGATACGCTCAGCTTGTGATGCGGGTGATGGACCGAAACTGAACCGAGAACTGATGACTCATCCAGGATTCGACCACTCAACCCCCCAGTACCTGACCTACGACCCTATCGTTGGGTAAAATGCTGTGTCCGGCTCCGTAAGTACAACCCAGAGTGCAAGTAGCCCCGACCTGTCGTGTTTAGACACTTGGTACATATATATTCCGCAGCTAACGGTCACCACTCTGGTAGACTGGTTTGCGGCCGCCACTGTTTCTTCCGCAGGGCCGTGTACATTGTTAGGCATCAGCGTGAGGCGAGTAACCTGATACAACGTCTACACCTTCAGCCAAAAAATAACGTGGAGCCCTTGCGCACCGCAGTAGCACGATCGATAAACCGACTTGCTCGTGTACTGCCCCGTGGTAGAATACCAACATGCTGCACGTGGGAACTCGGCCCCAACGACCGCACGATTTAAAGTGGCGGGAAAGCAGCAGTCTAATGAACTCATTACGAATCGACATCAGGCTCTATCTTAAATTAAAGGTTCCTTTCCATAAAATGATGCTGGTCTGAGCCTACAGTGAAACTTGGCTAGTGGGTATCCCTCGCAGTTAGTAGCTCTGACTGCGTCTAAAGTGAATAAAAAAAGTCGCTGGTAGTTTGTAAGGCGCGCTGCTCCATCTAATGTAGGGATCAATATATGGCAGTCGTAACGCATCCTGACTTTGGCGGGCACGTGCAGCCCCGGAGTGCGCTGCTCACCTTATGTTTAATACCATATATGATCAAATTTTGCAGCACTGTAGGGTCAGTTACATGTTACCAGTAAAATATGGGTAGACATCAATAACTTGCAAGTTTTTACCTAAGTACCTTCGAACCATATGCACACATCGCAGTAGGATTTTTCACCATCATTACTCGCGCCGGAGCTTTATGTGCATTTCTAGCTCAACCTTGAGCATCGTCGAACCCTGAGTGGTCAAACGTAGAGCTATGCCAAAATGTGGATCGTCCGTCCGGGGGTCACCCGAGGCCGTCCTGCCCGTCCCTGTCCGCCGCCTCCGCCCCACACAATTTGGCTACCGGTCAACCGATTAATTCAGAACGTATGACCAGCACCATAATTTTGAAATTGGAAGTATAGTGTTACTCCGCCATTCTCCCCATATTAAAACTCCTATTTTGGAGGGGCGACATCGCCCAGTCAGGTCCACGCTATCGAGCCACGGTCAAATTTTTTGGCAAACTAATGGGAAATTGCCCTTAGTGAACAGTTCAGTTCAATGGATTTTGCGTCATTTTTGGTAATGATAACTGAATACCAGGCTAGGAGTTTTTTGATATTAAAAAAAATTATCAAATTATTGGTAGGGTTTGGCCAATTATATAAGCATCATTATATACAGACACCGCAGAATTAATCAAACAGTCTGGGTGTCACACTCGTCTGGTCTTCGTTTTACACAAGATTGTCATTGACAATTATCTTTAAATGCAAAATTCTGCATAATGAACATCTATTAATGATTTATGCCTCATTAATTATTATATTACTATTATTAATGATATAATTATTTATGCTAAGAAACATCAAGCGCGCTGTCAAGCCGCCATCTTACCAAGGGGTCACATACAAGTGTGATTCATATTTGGTTTATAAATTATTTATAATTTTATATATAATCATCTATTTATTATTTTCACTATAAAAAAATTCACACATACTAACTATCAGAGTATTATAATTCGGAGTTTCTCCATTATACTACTCCTTTGTTCTATACATCCGCTATCGTCCGATGGTTTGGCTCACATTAAAACTGCACTTGCTTCTCACCAGCCTCACGTCATTTGTGTCCCTTTTTATGTGGTGATCAGAGCTTTACAGTAAATCATTGACGATCTATCATTTTGTCTTGTAGTTATTTGATATAGATTTTCAGAGAAGTGCATGAGAGGCTGACTGATGGTTCTTATTGCACGCCTGACATTCCTGCATGCTGGAGACAGTAGAAATTCTGTTTTAATATGTCCAGCAGGTAAAGTTGGTGTAGCAGAAAGGTAGCATGTGTATGTGCCATCATTGTGCGACGGTCGCGATTTGAAGTACGGGGGGCGCGGGCGGGCCGGCGACGAATAGCCGTGAGTTTTCCAGTCGCGTGGCATGCTTATTGGCATGTATAATGTAGGGGTGGCACCGGCGTATATAGGCGAGCGACAGCAAAACCTTCCCGAAATTTTAAGGAAACGTCCAAGCGCAATCGGGGAATGACCAGGAAGTGTGCCGGCACGTCGGCAAAAAGAAACGTTGCTGTGAAGTGCAATTTACGATTTCTCCGGATGTATAATACTTAGGGTGCAGAAAGCAGCTGGGATTGCTATTTATTTTTGGATTGGAAATTTGACACGGACGGGGTAAACTACGAAAGGGGAACGCATTTCACAACGGCGGTTCGTTAATTTGACACTGGCCGGACGCGCAGTGCCTCCTATGTAGAAGAAACCCCCCCTGCATTCATATATGCAATCAGAATATATAGTTACGATGAATGTAGAGGTGTGCACTGCTGGGATGCAGAGGAACCGAGCAGAAAATATTTTGTCCTGAGGAATTGCGGAAAACAAACTGCGATCTGGACATACAGCAATTGAGCGTCGCCGGCATGCAAATATATACACTGTGAATTCCATTACCGATTTCCATGTTATAATACTGTAATATCAGGAGTGTATAATATATATATATATATTCTATCGGTAAGAAGAATAATAGTGAGAGTGAGAGAGATCTACCTCTATCTTATATATATAATATTATACTCATACTATATTTATATATATATATATTTTATTTACATAACGATAGATCTCTATATTATAGACTCCTGGTAATCCTCGATATATACTGATCACTGAACCACCAAAAATGGACCTTAACGGCTCATAGATTGCAAGTAAATCTAGGACAAGTAAAACCAAAATTCAGAAAAATAAAAATGGTTTCTTGTTGCTCGACAGGACAACCAGATCTGAAAATAAGCATCGAGGCCTGAGTTAGCTATTTGTTTGGCAGATAGATTAACTTATTAACCACACTACTTTGCCTTAGCATTGTACTTACACAAATACAGTGACAGAGACTGAGTAGTTCAACCCTCAGCAATTTGAAGTTTATGTTTCTCTTTTTTTAAGTAAGTATTTTAGTCTTTGGTGTTAATTCCCAAACTAAAAAGTGATATTTTTGTGATGAGAATTGTTTAATAATGCTGCCTCGCAGTGCAGGAAATTGCATCTAAGAGGTGTAAATTTCAAAGAAAAATTCTGGACCCCCCAGCCCTAATCCGGAGGACAACAATCCCTCCCTAACACACCCCCTTGCAGCTGTGCAGCTGGCATGAGCCTGCGGCAGCAAACGGCCGCCTGCTTGGGTAGTTTAGCCCGTTACTTTAAAAACCTGTGACAAGCCTGGTTACAGTCCCACAGTGAATTGATCAGTTTTAAATTATGTTAATATCATTTCTGTTACATGGATTTAACGAAAACATTCAGCTATACCACTGGCATGCTAGATGTAAATGGCACTATCACTAGGCATCAGTAGGTTAACCCAAGCCAACTTACCAGATATCTAGTACTATCTCTTGTTCAGTTGAAATTCTCTGAGATGACATATTCTGGGTCGGAACACTAATTTTACTTGTTTTTGACACCTGGACAAGCGCCATGTTTCATCAGTGCAGAAGCAGATGGGTTAATAGAGCAGCGAGGATGATGAAATGAAATACACCTTCTTCTTGTTCTCATCCTACAGTCCTACTGTTCACTACATCTTCACCATCCTATGTTCTTGCATCTAGGTGCAATGTTTCCATCATTCCTTATATTAAAATATTTCTATCAGAAAGGCCACATAAACCTATATCCACAAATGTTTACATCGTATATCTAATTTGATGCATTAGATTTATGTAATCGAATCCATGTGGGGGGTCGACTCGAAAGCCTAGTGCTACTTTGACCCTCACAGCACTCATTTGTTAGTAAGTTCACTATTCTTTTTTATTATACTCTCACATTATACCTATCATACACCTGCTGTATTGTAACTAAGTTATGTGCTAAATAAAGAATCTGAATCTAATTATACTTTTCACAGATTATCCCAACCACACTAACAGATTCATTGTGCAGTGTTCTCTTGTTCTACAGAAGTGGAGCAGCGCACTAAATGAGGTAACGTATAATAATAATGTTTTGTAATTATTTGGTAGTACCGTAATAACTTATGGTACGTATGTTGCATATAGCGAATACATTTTTAGCTCATCTGACGTAGTCAGATGCAGCTTGTAGAATCGCATGAGCGTGCCGTGCGCGTGGCGTCGCCGTCAATCAGCTGCGGCACAAATCTAAAACGCCGCTCGATCATACGGATTCGAAATCGCGACGTGAGGGTGGGTAACTCCAAAACGAGTTGGGATGTGAAGACTGGGGCCAAAGGTCAAAGCGTCAAGAGGTGTACAAGAAGGGGACATTCCCTCCTCTAACTTAAGGTTAGGAGGAAATGCAGAATTGCGGCACAAATCTAAACGGCTTGACCTAGCTCGATGATAGTTGGTGTATATGCATCATGGTAGGAAAGCCATCACTGCTGCCAAAAATTGAGCTGTACGGGTCAAGGTCAATGGGGCACAGGGCAGATTTTAGGACATTTTTCTGATGACATGGTCTGACGGAGCGATTGAAAAATTTTTTGTATTCAGCGGCACCTAGCCATTCATTCTATGTATATTTAAAGGACCATGTCATGTACTTTCGCTGGCAAAATCGCGAAGAGTAGTGTCGGCAATAGCCTTTTGACCCTCAAAAGGTGATAAACATTATGGTCACAATTGCAGCATAAACAGGAGTTTCAGCACTGATTTGTATCAACCAATGGGATTTGGGAGGTATGCAGAATGCAGAAGGTCTGTGCGATGGAAATTGCATGTGCTATGCAACTGCCGTATCGCATATCTCCCCACCTAACCATAACGGGTCACTACGCACGACTTAAATGGTTACGTTCTATAACCGTAGCAAACAGACCTCAGATGAGCCCAGATGCTCTGCGGCTCTTGTTATATTGTTAAAAATTGTAATATGCTATTATGTTATATAGCTTCACTAAGCTGCGCGGTACCGCTGCCGTGGGGTAATAATCGAGATAATAACGCATAGGGAAAAAAACGGGAAAACTGTATACGGTATGACATTTAATATGACGCACAACCGAACTTAGAAGCTCCTGGGGACATAAATAGTAATATGATGTACAATGACAAAAGTTTTATAAGAGCATGTCAGCGAATGGGCTTGGACTTTTCATTTGAAAGCTCTTGCACTTAAGAATGTTTTAATTTTCCGTCTTATTCTCTGGTGGCAAATATGTAGAGATTCCTGCATCTCAACTCTTTGAGCCTCCACACGTTTACAGCTATCATCATGTGAGATCGTAGCATGAATAAAAGGAATATAGTATCAAGAGCTATAATGACAAATTTGTCATTATTAGCTGCTCATGTATAGATAGAGAAGGCCAACCATGCACATTGAAATGCTTAAAGAATTTTCCTACTGAATCAGCAAAACTGCATAGCTTATCGAATGGTACAATTAATGCTTGCCAGATCGTAGCATTCTGAAACTGACACCTCAGAGACTGAGTGAGTTAGTACCTCTGAACTGACGCTGACACTGCCCGCTGCTGGTTGTGGTCGTGTTTTATACTTGGTTCGGTTTCACCCAATACCAGCAGCCGGATGACGTGAGGCGAATCGATTTTTCTCTGTGTGGCAGCTTATCTGTACAGTCTAGTGCTGACATTTTGTGAAGATTCACGAATTGGACGGGTTTTTCACGGATTTTTCGCGTGAGTTTGACGGTTTTGACAGGTTTTTTTATCTAGGAACACTCCCCGGCGTATAAAGAGATGCGCCCTGTGAAAATTGCATCCAGATCGCCTTTGGCGGTTTGGCCGCCGGGATTAGGGGAAGATATCATAATACATAGCATAACATAGATCATACGAACTCAAATATATATGTTAGACTAGCTGCTTGGTACCCGCTGCGCCTGGGTAAATCGTCAGCTACTATTTCATAGTTAACTATAATAATTGGGGACAGAATAGGAAATTGGCCGTAAAAATCGACAATAACATTGCCAGACAATATTAATATTTAGAAATGAGTGTAATAAGATAATTAAGCTATGGGAAAACGGGGAAAAACTGTTACGTATGACATTTATTATGAACAGCACAAACCGCACTTAAATGACAAAAAGTTAGTTATTAGGAGCATGTAGGAATGGGTTGGACTTTTCATTTGAAAGCCTTCTTGATAAAGACATGTTTTTCGTCTTTATTCTCTGGTGCAAATTTATGTAGAGATTCCTGGCGTCTCCAACTCTTGAGTCCACGTACTATCCATTGTGAGATCGTAGCATGAATAAAAGAATTAGTATCAGGAGGCTATATAATGAGAAAATTTTCATTATTAGCTGCTCATTTAGTGATAAGATAGAGACACGCAACCATGCACATATAATGAAGAATTTTCACTACTGAATCAGAAACTGCATAGCCTGTTTGGAATGGCGACAATGCATTTCTGATGATCGTAGCCACTGAACTGAACCTCTGATGCCGTGAAACTCGTGCCTGCGTTGGTGTGTGTTCTATGTATTGGCTTTCGCGCGTTTCACAATACCAGCAGCGGATGAGGTGAGATGATCGATTTTTTCTCTGTGTGGCAGCATGCTACAGTCAGTGCTGACTATTGTGCTGAAGATTTACGAATTGACGGGTTTTTTCACGGATTTTTTCGGCGAGTTTGACGGTTTGACAGGTTTTTTTCCACTTAGGAACACTTTACCCCCGACGGGTATAAAGAAGATGGCCCTTTGTGAAAATTGCATCACAGAGTCGCTTTGGCGTTTGGCCGCCTATAGGGAAGATACATACTTTCGTACATACATACATCATACATACATTAATTACATTACATACAGTAATAATACATACATACATACATACATACAATACGAACTCAAATATATATTAGATAGTGTGATTTAAAAAATCTGCTATAGATAGTAAAGGTTCGGGATAGAATGAGCATTGCGTCTGAATGTGAGTAAAAGAAATATTGTTGTTTATCTGGTATCACAGTGGATATAGTTTTTTTTATTTATGTGAAATCAATCAACTTGTTGCATTTCAGTTCCTTTTAGATGTACCTACAAGAGTAACCCTTGGTGATGTACTTTCAAAGTAAGTATGCTAAATTAAGGAATTCTGATGGTATTTGTAAGGTCAAGATCAAGTGCTTTTGTATTTTACATCCAGCATCAGCGTTATCATTATCTTTATCTTGAGTGAAACTTACCGACTCGAAACATTAGCACAGTGTTCATTCTAGCCATTTATTCAAAACTGTCGGTCCTGCCGCCTTAAATTTGCTCCAATATTCAAGGAGGCCCTTAGCTGAGCGCTAAAGGGCAACCGCCTTGCCTAGGGGCGGCCCCGACCCACTCCCTGCCCCATACCCCCGCGAAAACAATTTGTATTGTATGTTTTTATCAATATTTGTTTTATAAAATTCTGTCCAGCGAAGAATGCATAGCCGGCCATCTCGGAGATTTCTAGAAACCGGGACCGCCTTCAAAGTGGTGTATTCTTAATATCTCAGCATCCAGCGTGGCCTAGAGCATGATATATAACGGCTAAACATACATTTCAGGGGTGAGGAAGCCAGTGGTACAGAAGGGGGAACATTCGCCTCTTTAACTTAAGGTATTAGGGCGGAATGCAGAATTGCGGCACAAAATCGAAACGGCTGCTAGGCTCGTGATTGTCGGTGTATAGCCATCATGGTAGGAAAAGCATCACTGTGCGAAATTGGGAGTCACAGGTCAAAGTCAATGGGGCACAGGGCAGATTTTTAGACATTTTCTGAGGACATTGGTCTGACGGAGCGATTGGAAAACTTTTTGTTTCAGCGGTAACCTACCATTTTTATGGCTTTATTGAAAGGACCATGAAATGTGCTTTTCCACTGACGTGCGAAGAGTAAGTGTCTGATAAGCTTTTGACCCCCAGAGGAATCGAGGCTTAAATATGGATTTTTGACTGTTAACAAAAGGAGTGAACCACTTTTGCTATTAGAGCCCCCTTCATCGCCTCCCCCCCCCCACCACCACCACCACTTACGCTCGCGCTCGACGCAATCCATGATAACGTTAATATAGCGAAGTTTTAAAGCTACGCAGCTATATCTTTATTACTGTGACTCCGGTATAGCAAATCCTATCAACGCGGTGGCGGGAGGGCGCACTTGATATGGTTGCCAGTTGATTTATCAGAAGAAATAGCCGGCTACAGTACACGTCAGTTGAGCGCTTCGCTCTGCGGCACTTGTTCGTCAATTCCCCGAAAGTTTTGCTGTCGCTCTCTCATAGTCCAGCAATGCCAACCTCTACATTTTAGTAGTGATTAGTACGCACCTGAAACAATCGTGCCCCCCCCACCCCGTACTTCAATAAATTGCCACCCTGCCAGTAGGCACGTACGCAGCGTCGATGGATGTGCACAGCCATACACACGTGCTCGCGGGCCGCTTTCACAAACCCCCTGAGCTTCCAGGGCCCTTACGCGGGCCCTGGGACCCCAGCCGCAAGAGATTCGCGTAAAAACAATCGATCGCTCCTCGCTCGTACACAACACCTCAGCTATTTTGCGCTAGCCGTAATACCAATGTTTCATTGCGCTGGCCAGCGTATGTACTACAATTTAGAACCGTGTGTGTGTGTGTTGTAAAATTAATAATCCCCCCCCTCGAACTACTAATTTGATGGCCAGAAACTACAGATTGCTTCAAATATATGTTGGCATCTCTGACTACCTACACCGAGTGGAGACAATCCTGTTATTTGTGGCGGCATCCTGAAACGCTGACCTGGTGCTCCATCTCGAAGCTGGAGAAGCACTGAGCTAAGGATGTCCTTTGCTATGGACCGGATCAAGTACAAGCGACTCTGGCCTCGTAACTCGCAGAACATGTATGACACTGAGAACAGACCACCCAATACCTGGAGGGAACTGGAAGCTGGAAACATATCCGTCACCAAGAACGAGATCTCGTTTGTATCCATTGGTGCAGACCACGCATGCGAACATCTGAACAAGCTGATGAAGGTTCACTCTGGACTGATTGCCATCTCCAACAACGCCAACGCTAGACAGAGGTTCTTCATGGCTGCACCAGAACTGTCATGCCTGTCGAGCAAGTTCAAGAGTCAGTTTGATGTGGAAGCTGGGAAGGTCACAGAGCACCATGACCTTAGACCAAGTGCAGTCAAGAGGGAGCATGACGCAATCGAAAAGATCAAGGCTGCGATCCTGAGTCATGGCAATCCATTTGCCACTGAAGGTGACCAGCTGCACAATCTGATCACCCATGCCTAAATCCCAGACGAGTATGTGCCACAGATCCTGAACATTGATGTTACTGGGCAGAAGTTGTATGAAGAGTACGTGTCAGAGCGAATCAATGGGGACGTCAGCCTTTGGGCACCAGTGTAGAAACACAACAACAAGATGTTCATGTCTGGCAACAAGAAAACCAGTGTGAAACTCAGAGACAACTATGAGTTCACGTTGACACCGAGGGCACTGTTTGCGGCAAACGGGGCAATGCTGCCATGTATTGACAAGGCAAAGTTGATACACCTCCTTGAGAAGCTGGGAACAGCAGAACCACCCGATGAAGATTAGCAGCAGCAGCTGCATGATGCAAGTGTTCTGCAGCGTGATGCAGTGGATCCAGAAACCATGGACTGCACACCCACTGAAGATCCTCATCCAAGTAAAAAAATTGCACTGGTGGACGGTATGGTGGTCGTGCAGAAGCTAACAAAGAAACCAGCCACAGTAGTGACAGTCAAAGACCTCAGTGAATGCTTCAATACCAGACTGATGTTTCTCACAAGAGACTGATGAGATCATTCTGGTATTTGACACATACAAGGCTGATTCCCTGAAGAGTACCACAAGGGAGAAACGGAGACAAGGGAAGGATCCGATCCAATATCAGATCAGAGATGACACCAGCATCAAGCACATCCCAATGAGCCGGTTCCTTTCCCACGTCAAAACGAAGGCTGATCTGACTGAGTATCTGGCAGCAAAAACCCTGGAGTACAACCAAGACTCGTCAAAGCTGGTTATCGCATCTGCTGCAGGACGTACTAGGAGCAATAGCGAGCTGCTAATCGAGGACAACAATCACGAAAAGGCGGACACTGCTGATCTACCATGCAGTGCTGGCATCACAGAGGAACCCACCTGATGCAGAGTTGGTGGTCTTCTCCCCAGACACTGATGTTCTGGTGCTGGTCATAGCACATTATAACCTGCTGAGAAACACGTCCATGTCGATAGCTTCCGGAGTGGTCCAAGTGCAGCCAATATGGACAGATCTAGGTCCAGAAAGAGCAAAGGCTTTGCCAGCCTTTCACGCATTCACGGGGGCAGATAACACTGGGAGGTTCTCTCACATAGGCAAGGCAACCTGGCTGCAGGTCTACCTCAAAGCAGGCGGAGAAGTGATCAATGATCTGCAGATGCTTTCTGATGCCGCTGAAGTCTGAAGAGCTGCTGTCAACGCTGGCTACATTCGTCTGTGCTGCATACGCACCAAAGGGCATCCACATTGCGAGCATCCCTGGGCTGCGATGGCATTTTTTCTGCAAGCATATGGCTGAAAGTGACAAGCTGCCTCAAGCAGACAAGTGACCCTCGGTGCTCTCAAGCAGCACATCCACAGAGTCCAGATCCAGGCCACAGTATGGGGTCAGGCAAGCATTGCTCAGCAGCAGTTCCTGGATCCGCTGCAGCATGGCTTCTACAAGGACACAGCAGCTGATCAGGTGAAACCAATCACAACTGAGGTCCTCCCAGCCCCCAAGGCCATCATTGAGATGGTGAGATGCCTCATGTTCAACATCTCGATGCTCTTGCAGGTCCAATAACTTATTATGCACAGACCTCTGCCAGTGCAGCACTCAGTGCCAGAATGATGAGAACTCTAGGAATGACATGTTGCCGACCAGTGACAGTGATGATGATGATGTGTAAAGATTCTGCTATATATCAAAGATTTTGCTATATCACACTCATTTTGTCATGCTGTCATGATATTGAAGTTTAGTTGTGCAAGAAGCTGCCTAGACATGCTAGAGGTTTGACTTGCTACATGTAGAAGTTCTGAACCATTTAGAACATTTATTATAATAAAATGAATATGATAATTTGTTTTGTGGTTATGTTTAGTCACATTTATTTTACTTTGTACCACTGGCTTCCTCACCCCTGAAAATGTATGTTTAGCCGTTAAAATCATGACTCTAGGCCACCTGGATGCTGAGATATTGAGAAACACCCATTTTGAAAGCGGCCATTTTGAAAATCCAAGATGGCCGCCATTCATGCTTCTGGCAAATTGTAAACATTGGTTTTCTGATTGCCTATACTATACAGATTCCGAAAATGTATAGGTTTCCAAATCCCCCCAAAAAGTTAACGAAATTACACAATGAACTTGACTACCAGCTTCATTAGCTGTTGTTCTATTTCCCAAATCTCGAAAAAGGTCGTTTGTAAAATCTACATAAATTTCATTACCAGTATGTATACTTATAACGTGGATAGGCGATTGATCAAAATCATTTTGCATCCATGACAACTTATTTGATTTTGCATCCATGACAACTTATTTGCGTCGGTTGGGCGCGGACGCAGCATTCAGATGCAGCTTTTACTATAAATATTGCGTTACTAACGCAAGGGCGTACACCCAAAGATGAACACTGCATGAATGTCCTTTAATTTTACTTAATGTTATTTTTGAACATTAACAAAAGTGCTCATAAGCTATAAATGTGTGGAACAAAGTTTCAATCTCATTTTATATTTAATTATGAGACCAATTTTGAGCCACAAATTTGTGCACTTGATGTTAGGAACTGTATTCAGGGAGTGTAACACTTAATTTTCAGTAGTGCAGTATTCCAGTAGTGTAGAATCATTTTTACTTGTTTCTATGTATGTATGTATGTACGAATGTATAAATCTGATAATACCTTAAATGTCATGACATTTTTTTGTTTAGAGCCATATATTTCCACGGTGCTGAATCAAGAAAGTCTAGTACCTCTGAGGAAGAGATGGAAGAAGAAGAGGCCGATTCATCTGACATTGTAAGTTTACATTTATGCTACAATGCATATCTTTTTACTGTCTTTATGATGGTGTGCTACATGCGTATTAGCAACTAGGTTCCGAGTCTGCATGAACCCACTAGCAAAGGTTGTGCACTATTTTGTGATAACAGTGTATTTTCTAAAGAATCTATAGGCTCACCTATTAGCAGATAGACTACTTAATACAACAACTTGAAAACTACTAGGGATTTTTGCCGTTATGGAATATAAAAAAACAAATAATTTAGTCGCATTCTGCAGTGCTGCTACGGTTACAGCCCTATAGACCGAAGGTCCGATAGACCGAAGGCTCGATAGACCGAAGGTTTATTTGAATACGCAGTGGCTACACGTTCGGAATCGGTCGCCTATAGCCTCCAGGCTACGCATCCGGACATCCACTGATGCCGTATTCGAACGTGAATATGCCGCACATCCACCGATGCCACTATAAATCATATGATGCCACTATAAATCATATGATGCCACTATAAACCATATATATGCCCTAACCCTATCCCTAACCCTAACCCTAACCCTAACTCTAACCCTAACCCTTTGCAATATTCGGTCTATCGGGCCTTCGGTCTATCGAACCTTCGGTCTATAGGGATGACCCCGCTGCTACAATTGCTTTGTAAATGGTGCCACGTACACAAGTGCATCTAATTCTGACAAAAGTGCGTCTGATTCTATGATGTAAGTCATTTTAGGTTGTTACCCCATTTTCGTTACTTTACCCAAGTTACCATCAACAATGCAAGGTAACAGTTTATAAACTTTTCACGTGAGATGTTGGAATCACGTGTCAACAACGACAACAAGTAACTAAAACGAAGGAATCAATATGGAACTTTTAATTGCTATATACTGTGGTGAAAGTAATAATGTGTGAGTGTTTTAAGACATGTTAGCATTACTGCAGACAACTGTTGATATGTAAGCAATATCGGTAAGTATTGCAACACTCGGGGAAAACATTAGAATTACGCAATTTAATTAAGTAATTATGTGTAACGCTTCCACAGGATGTTCTCATGTCTGATGATGAAACAACGTTCACTACTGAGTGGGAGCTGAGGCTGTCTCGAAAGAAGGTGCGTATGCAAGAGTGACATTCAAAAAATTGTTGTGTTTGATTCAGAGTTTGTGAAAAGGGACTCATATTTGCTGATATACACTGCAGTAGACATGTATATAGAACTTCTCACGAGTTTAATGTTCTGTTATGCAAGAATTGAGTAATTAAAATTGGGAATCTAAGCACTGTGAGCATATTGGAATTGCCATGAATCTAATCACTATGAAGCAACAAAACCATTAATGCATTTGTTGGATTACCAAAACAGCCGGGAGTAATGCTTGAATGTGGTAATGCTTTTGCTGTAGGCAGATGTTTTTATTATTATTTCATGCTTACAGTGGTTGTTTTTACAGTGTTGTTTACAGTGGTACAGAAAATTATGTATGATCACAGTACTCAGGATGTGTATTTTCTTGTGTATTGTTAGTCGACCTAAAACAACCCCATTTTACATATATTAATAAGAGTCTTCTCCAAATCTCCTATGCACTGTGTTTTCGCTGCAATAACAAATCTCACACCCTCAGCCCTCCTCATTGGTCTGCAGCTGACTTGGTTCTGCTTTGGGTTTATTGTTGGTTGTATTGTCTTGACAGTTGTCATGTTGAACGTAGTGTTTACATTTACCAGTTAGAATGTTAGCACGTTGCTGTTACTCTGTCTATTTCCTGTGGTGCCATGCCGATTTGTAGAAGCGGTGGCTACAGAAGGAGGCTCAGGTGAGGCGTGAGATGAAGAAAGCCAAGTTGTCTTCTACAGGTGCAGAAATTCAAGGTGTCTTTCAAGGTAAGTTCATATAGCCTTAGGCAATATTATTTGTTGCAAAGAGTGCTAATTCCACCACTGCAAATTGAAATTCCTGTCTTACACAGACACATATATATATACGCGCGCACGCACACCCCCGCATAAGTGCATACACACAGGCACGTACGTACGCACACATCTGAATCGCTCTTGACTTCTATATATTATTGTGAGTGTACAGAATATGTTTGGTATGCATAAGAAGGGACCTCAATGCCTTAACTTCTTACCACCAGCCTCGAGCCAAGAAAAGGAAGCTGTTCGACAGATATTCAGCACGTCTGCTGCATCCGGTATTCTTACTAATGACTTGGTGAAGATCATGGAGAGCGAAGAGGTAGGCGTGTGTGCTAGTGATATGCACCCAGGATATGTCTCATGCATGTAACAACAATTGCACGTGTGTAAATTAGTTGATGATGATTTGGCAAGCAAGAAAATACAGAGTAAATTAGCAGCGACATTTAGCCTGAGTAAATTCCTAGGTATAATATCTGGATTATTTATTTCACAGTTATTTTTAATTTTTTTGTTAATAATATATTAGTTAGCACGCTGCTTAATTCAAACGTGTAATCTTTATATAAGTAATTACCGTGGCCGTAATTAATTATTTTTACCACATTTTGCACGTTATATTTCGTATATACATATAGTTGCACAACATCTAAAACAATTCAGAAATGACAGTGTGTGGTCTATCACACACAATCTGGCAGGGCTTGATGAGGTGGGATCACTATATCAAATTTATTTAAAAGCCTCACGTTTTGCATATTCAGGTGACAGGTATTAGTGCAGAGCCAATTGATGACAATATCTACCAATGGTGTGTAAAATTCAGCAAGTTCATAACAATCAGGTAAATCTTTCGTGTTTATTGGGATAGGTGTGGATAGTGTCAATAGGTATCTCATGGTATCTTGTTATTTATTTGAATCTAATAATTAATAAGGGGGCAAACCTGATTTCTAGCTAGCAAAATACATGCAAATGTTGACTTGCAGTTTAAAACCCAATTTTAATGGCAACTTTGAAAAAAGTGAGAACACCTCCAGGGTTTCTTCTGAGGGAAAATTAGACAAAGGAGGTAATGGCCAGTTTGGGAAAAAAAAGTGCATGATGGATTCAAATACAGGATGTATTGATATACATATAGGTATATTAGCTGTATATAGATACAGGATATACTTATCAGTAAATATAGGAACATTTTCACAACGGCGATGTTAAACTTGACAACGGCGGTGCGCCACTGTGCCTCCTATGTGTAAGAAACCCTGACCTCATATTGTAGTATGTGTGTGTATTTCACATGTATTTCTTGGATTTTTTTTTAGATAATGGGGATGATAGGGTGGTTTGCTATGAATTTATTTGGTACTCGCACAACCACGTGTTTGATTATGCATACCCGTTTGGCAACACCCAGTATTCTGTATAACTTGGCAGTTTGACCATAGAGTCATTTGTACAATATTCTTATGTACCATTAATAAATAGAAGAGGCAAGAGACAACCTTTTCTGTAGGTGCGCCAGTATAGTGTGTGTTCTGACTTTGCAGTGATCTCTCAAAAGACCTTGTACAAGTGCAGGAGAACTTTGGCTATGATTATATTCAGCTTCAGTTGGTGAGTTTATCATATGGCAGCGTTTACAGTATTTGTTTAGCATTCATTTACACAAATTGAAACTTAAGTTACTACATGCATTAATTGTCTGTATGCTGTAATATTCAATTGACTCATTTAAATCCCCTGGTATTTGGTTTCAGGACTTTGCCATAGATTTGTATCCATTTTACCCACCTCTGCTCAAGGTCATCAGACCGCGGCTGCAGGTGAGTTTATAGTGACCAAACTAGTAAATTAATAAAACACGTGAAATATGCTGTGACAGCATCATCATGTAGGCCATCTTGTAGAGAATTTGACTGCCTTGCTTATTATTATGCAGTTAGTCCTGTAGTTCAGTTCTAGCGAAGCGCACCATTATTTGAACATGCTTTTTTCCACACACTCTGGTAGTGCCATATGTGAACTGTTAGATTCACAGAAACTGCTTGGCGAGTAAACTCGGTCATTAAAATGGAGAGAATATGAATATAAATAGCAAACACTTTTTGTACATGGTATCCGAGTAGAAGATGATTGATTAGAGTGCTTGTCGGTCTATTCAACTACCATGGGGGAAAATTGGTAACAATTTGCCTACGCTCGGTGCGTCAGGGTTCCATGATGCAACGCGTCACAAACATGGAGTTACTGAAGCTCTCGTTCTGGAACCCGGCAAAAGACATGATAACAGTTCTTCAGGAGATCAAGAGCTTCTTGGAACACTGGGCTAGGTATTTAATTTTTCGCTGTGGACTGTGGTCCGATATTTGTTCGGTAAATTCAGCCTCCCCCCCTCACCGTTTGTGACCATACCCGTGTTTGTGCTCATGTGGTATACTTCTCGTTCATCAGAGGATCGAAAACTATGGGCCGGTTTCAATGAGGACAGCAGTTACATTAGAGTTACTACTTCCAGGCTGGATTGTAAGTGTGAAAGGAATGACTACAAGAAGTATCCTCTTGGTGCCTATGTCGATATCGAACACCACCTTCTGCGTCTTGCACTGGTAAGGTTCCATGATGTAGTTGTGATCAAGCCTGTTTTCACATGAATACCACTTATTACGTATGACGGGAAAATAGCGCTTGCACTGACTGGCTGTTGCCGTGGTGACTGATCTAGTGGCTGTGTACATTAGGTGCATAATGTAGTTGACTTGGCTTCATATAAAAAGCGAATTCTCACGTCTTTCTCTGCCATTATTTGCTTGAAAATACTCTAGGTTGATCATTATAAGCAAAACGTCACATTTATAAGCATTAAAAAAAGCATTAAACACATTAGTGCCTTGCGTGAGCTAAAAATTTGTGCCTGCGCTTAGCTTGATGCGAGTGTGATACCAATGAAACCTACATGTTTGGTCGATGCCGAAAGGAGCGAAATTTGAGTATGAACTGATAAAACTCATTTTTGTTCTGCTGGTTATACCCACTCACTCTACATGCAGTCTATATCTATCAATTTAGCTATTGTTACCAGTTGTAGTGTGTTATTGTATGTAATTAACACTTACTACTATAGCCTATTCAGATGTGGCTGTGAGCTAATACCATGTATCACCATTGCTTTCTGCCACAGGTTAGTGAGGTGTGCCCTCGTGCTAATACCAAGTATCAGCTGCAGACGCCCGTGCCACCTACCAAACCTTCTACTTCAAAGGAAGATGCGGTATGATGTATACATTTAATAAAGTGTCACTTCTATAAACTTAATAAAAGAAATTCTAACTGTATTCATGGATGTGGACAATCTGATATATAATATTTCCTCCATCGGTTGTTGTGTATGTGTGTGTGTGCGTGTGTCTGTCTATTGAATGCAAGGATGAAACTGTACCTAATTGTGTGTTTTTACTTGTATTATAATAACTAACATGAACTTGTGTAAGGCACATTTGCCAATGAATGCTAGGTGTTGTGAATTTTTTGATCAAAATTTGGCTTACATTCACAGGCTGATCCTTTATCTCCCAAACCACTTTGGAAGAAGGTTGGGTGCTTTTCATTTGTCTCTGTGAGTATGATTTACTTCTGATATCATAGATGTACAAACCTATTTCTCTTTCACAAAAACATTTTCGCAAGAAGTATTTTTCAATGTTGCTGTTTAACACCAATGATTTTTGATTCCCATGATCATGGAAAAGCGTGAAAAAGTTGTTACCGTCATGGAAACCAAATGATGGTTGGGTGTGTAGTAATTGTTTGACGGCATAGTCAAACCTATTTGTATGCGTCGGCTTAGTAAGAGTCAAGTTGTGTCTTGAGAGTTAAGGTGATTAGACTGGGCATAGAATGATAGTAGTGTGAAATGTCATGGTAACAATACCAAGAACTTTCTAGTAACACTGAAATGAACACCCATTTGAAATGTTGAAAATTTGCAATTGAAATGATGTAGTACGCAGTTACAAACTGATGAATACTAATAGGATGCTATATGCATTATCATATTAATTTCTAGAAAAGTCGAGTACAATATTTTGTGGATAAAATACAGGAGGATGGCCTAAAACAGTACTATATTACACCAGTATTTAGATTGGTCAGACAAGTGATGTTGTCTTGTTTGTATTTATTCAAACAGCTACAACATTTACGGATGGTATAACCATATAAACTATGAACATTAACTATGGCAAATCTTTCGAGTTTGTAGCCGTGTACGTCTGTCCTAACATTCTTATGCGCACATTAACACAAATATGTGCAGTTACTTTTATACACACTTACCTAGACATGTTGCAGTGAAAGAAATGGTTAGCATCCCCTAGATGCTACTTGAGAGAAATTTGTGGCAATCCTCTGAAACTGTTACTGCTGCTGTACTGGCATTAGTATGGTGACAGTCGAGTTTAAGCACTTCATACCCCCGGGACCTTTCTCTTTCAGCAGCAAAAAGACTATTGGGCTGCAGGAACAGGTTACGGTCATGCGAGGAGGTCCGGATGGGATGTGGGAGCTTACTTGGCTGCGCAGAAGGAAAAAGACAAGCAGGTGAGACAAGTAGTTTGCAATAGGGGGCGATAGTTGTGCACAGGCCTCGTTAGGGATAGGGAGTGAGGCGAGCAGGCAGGAGGAATTCATGCTATGATTCTGGCTCCGTTTCTCTAGATCGAGTCCGTTCTTCAGAAGTTACACCAAGAATTGAAAAGATTTAACAGCATAGACATCAACGTGCTTAAAGTCACCATCAAGGCCAATGTTTCAGGTAATTGACTATATCTGAGTGTCTGCCTACAGGTGGATGAGGGGGGCGATATCAGTATTTGAAACTTGATTTTATGTCTTTGTATTACATGTATTTGTGTTATGGCTACCATTCATATTTTCATGTAATTTTCCTTATACCTAAGCTACCCAATAGTAGAGTAATCATGGCTTTAGTTTGGGGTGATACTCCATTAGGTGGTCATGGTCATGGTCATATATTGGTTTGTGGTTTAATGTCATTTAGGTTAGGGTTAGGGTTAGGGTTAGGGTTAGGATTATCAATCATTAATCATTAATCATTAATCATTAATCATTAATCATTAATCATTAATCATTAATCATTAATCATTAATCATTAATCATTAATCATTAATGATATCAAAGTTGGGAACACTCCTAATGGAGCGTTAGCCTTAGTTTGACTTGTAATGTTGGTACCTGACAAGTTTCACATATACATTCTACCTCTGCAATAAAAAATATTTGCTAAATTCTTTAACTGTTTTATTACATTAGATAGAGGATGTACCATGACACACAGAAAATGTGCATGGAATAAAACTTCTATTGGAATATGCCAAGTGAAAAAAGCTAGGAGACAAGGTGTGAAGTAGTGAATAACATACAGCGTGGCATTTTTACAGACAGAAAATCCGATGCCCAGCCTACAGTATCACGAATGGCGCTAGTGGAACCAAAACCCTCTGTGTCTCACAGCGACAGCTATGATTTCGTTGATCCAGTGGAGGACATGTTTAATATTATTGAGGGATCAGCACTGGTCCCTTTCATGGAGGTAGCAAGTTTCTTTCATCACATGACAATTGTTGATATTGTTAAATGTGCGCATATGTTCTTGTATGTTGTCTAGATAGTAGGTTCACTAACACCTCAACTAATGTTGGCTTCATTACATATGGTCGAATCATAAGAAACTATTTTCAATTTAAATACATTTTGTCCAAAAAATTATTGTATTGCAAATAATATATAACATGGTATTTATTTTACTGCTACATATGAGGTTGGGTATTATATTAAGGTTATTCGTTCTGTTTCAGTTGTATCTGAAGGCAGACTCGTTTATGGAGATATGCCGACACACCTCAGTAAGTTGAAATGTGTAAAACCCATGCCGAATAGGCCCATATCAAGTTGATGATTCATATTGTTTGCAACTAGCAGGTAGCAGGTTCACAGTAGTTGGTGCAGTTTCTATTTGGTTGTAGAACCTACCACCACACAAGACATAAATTCGGTGATACACGAAAAGCAGTGGCATTAGCTGTTTGGACGTTTAATGTTGAGAAAGGGATGATGAAATTGACTCAGACTGCCGCAGAGCAGGGAGTGCCATTTGTGATTACTCACACGATTCCGTCCTAATTCTGAAAGCTTCCATACTAATGCTTGCTGCCATTGCAAAGCGATTATATTGGTTTCTGTGTGTGTGCGTGCATGCGTGTGTGTGTGTGTGCATATGTAAGCAATAATTTGGTTGAGATTAATGGATTTCTTTTACTCATTTCAGCTGTACAAAGCAATCCTAGACATAATCAGAGAAATTTGTAAGTTTTTCAAACGTTTGCAGTAATATAATCTTAATTTGGTATATCATAAAACATTCCATTTGTAAACATAATATCATGGCTGTAATAGCGAAAATATATTTTACTTTTAGAATATTTTATTAAACTTGTTATTTTGTAACTAGTGTTTTTGCTAGAAGCTGTAACCTTGTTTAGCTGTGACTATGTTACCTTTTATAAGAAGTAAATTTTTAAGAAAAATTACATAAAACATAATTACTGATAGGACTTAATACACCCCCAACTCTTAGCTAATGGTATTGCTAAACTGGCTAAACTAAACTAAGTTAAACTAGTTAAAAATAGTAAGAAGTATAATGCTTAAATTGAACCATAAACAAAACAATAACTGTATTTACATTTTTACTTAAAAAAAATATTGTTATTGCTATTTTTACGAAAAGAAATTGCTAATACCATTTACGGTGCCACAGTCGCTTTAGCAGAAATTGTGCAATTCGAACAAAATACATATAAATGAACAATAATCGTGAATATTGCTGAGAAAGTTTATCGTGAATGGCGTTGCGATGCAGGTGCACAACCACAACTGATCCCTGTGCTGTGTCAGCTGAGCAACCAATCTGCAGACGAATCCCTATATCACCTGCTACACAGGCTAAAGGAGAAGGTGAGATATCTACTTCACTTCTCTCCTCAGCAGCTCTGATATAATGATACTGATGCAGTGAATACCATCATGAAATTGCGGCATGGACAGACTTGTGTAAGGAAGTTTAAATGTAATGTAGATAGATCAACTTGGCGTTGCACGAGCAGAAGCATTGCATAGTGCCGCGGTGTAACCTATAGCTGGACTGACATGTGGAATAGACCAGTAATGCGACGTGCCGACCAACCTACTTGCGATCTTTCAGGCGTCGTCGTTGCTCCAGCAGCTAGCGAAGACGCACGCGAACGGAAGCGTGCCCAAGCCGACCAAGAAGCCTGGCAGCGGCTCACCCCGTCCGCCCAAGCACAGAGAGAAGCACGGGCCAGTGTTTGTCGACTGGGAGATGCTGGGAAACGTCACGGAGAAGACAGCCGAGGAACGGTTGGCGAGGTATCGTTTCGTCCGCCGTCAGCATCGCGAGGTTGCGGAGAATTCAGTGAAAAAAGTCAACAGATAGTGAACTGCTGTTTCACTCTCAAACGTTGGTTAATTGTGTGTGCATGCTTGCTTGCTTGCTTGCGTGCGTGCGTGCGTGCGTGTGTGAAATAGGTGGCCATGAAGGTCACTCAGTGCTGTGCCATATTGTTTGTCATTTTTCTGTTCGGGCACTTCAGTCGGTTATCTGGCTGCCAACCATTTCACAAGACATATATAGAATTAATTTGAAAACCAAATGCTGACATGTGAGGTCTACAATATTTCATGCGCACTTGGCTATTCTATCCTTGAATCCCAGTGCTCGTGTGCTGCAGTGGTGCGTCGTCAAACCGCTATGTTCGTGTAAATGTAGCCACTTGTTTTGACACTCGACAGGGATTTTGTAACCATCTACCGTGACATGCAAGACGCACTCCAGAAGCACGGCTTCCTGGCGCCCTCTGGTGAGAGTCAGATGTCGAGCAGCAATAATAGCGAGGAGGTGGAAGGTGTTGAGATGCAGGTGGAGAACGAGGTGAACCTACAGTCACCAGAGGTAGGTGATGCTGCCTGCGCTCGCACCAATTGTCTGGCTGTTTTCCCGCGGTATCTTTCTCGATTTGTTATCTAAATGTGCTACAGTTTCTACGGAAGAAGATTTAGGTCTATCAGAAGGTTGTAATAGAAATCCAAGCTGAAAATTTGACATATTTACTGTCTTATTGCCTAGCATCTTATTGCTGAAAATATTAAATCAAGGGAGATGGCAATTTGGTACTTCATTAACAAATTTTCTTTTGTGACTGGGTTTTGTTGTGGTATTCAGGACACACCTATTGTGAATTTTCTACATGGGCTAGCTAGTATTGACCATATGACACCTTTCAGTATAACTTCAAGTATGAGGTTCTAAGTGGTGTAGATAATGGCAGTATAAGCTCTAAAATGTATTTTTTAATAATCTGAAGATTAAAGCTCATTATACTTCGTCTTTCAACAAGATAAATATGATACACAAATCCAGTCGCAATGGCATACGGCTAGTTGTCATGTTGCTAGTTTCCGGTGGACCAACTTCTGGCGACTATTGCCTTATGTCCTGTTAACATTAGATTTATGGAATTGGCAAATTAGCACATTTAAATGTGTTTTCTGTCGTAGTGTGCATTCAGTAATATCAGGAGTAGATAATAGGGTTAGGGTCCTACCCTATTATCTACTCCTGGTAATATCTGTTGTGCATCTTGTTGATTCAGGAGCAGTTGGCAACGAAGTACAAGAGAGCCCTGAGACCTCTCCAGTTTGACTCTCATGAGACTGAGCGTGAGTGTGGAAATTTCTGAAGAATGGTTTAACAAAAAAACTGATTAAAATTTTGTACAAAAATATGACGACTTGCCATTTTTGCAGTGTATGGTCCCCTTACACCGAGTAAGGCCAAGAAAGTGTGAATGCAGTGTTTACTCATTGTGTAATAACATCACGTGAACTTGATATGTGCTGTTTTACAGTCGAAAAGCCGAGGGCGCACAACTATGCGACTCTGTTTACGAAAACGGCTCCTCCCAACCCAGCACAGGTGATGCGTATTGCACAAGAACTGCTGTCACTCTCCACCTCTTTGCCCTTGGACCTGGAGTCGGCCATCTTTGTTAGAACAGTAAGCAGTTAACTGATAATTGTATGATAGTGACCTAACTCTCCATGTCTATGCTTGGGTTTGTCCCACTATGTTGTTTTCAGCTCATTTAATTTACTGTTTTATTGTTGGCTTGTAAGTCTTTTTATATTGCATGTCATATTGTGTGTGCATTGTCTGAAAATTTCGAAATTGGTCTGGCTAATAGGATTTCACAACATGCATGATTATAGATTTCCTATAGATAAATGCATTAATTTTTCTAGTCTGTTGCACTTAGCAAGATCTAGTAGAATTCAGATGTATCATTTCGATTATTTATGCTGCCTACTAACACGTGTTACATTGTCTATATATCTACACTGCTTTTCCTCTTTCAGGATGATGATAAAATAAACATGATGAGGGCACTAATAATAGGGTAATGTCTCTCTATCTCTCTTTCTCGCGCTTACTTTCCCATATGTATCCCTGTCTTTGTCAGTCATAATCTCCCTTTCCACTGCCCCTACTCCCTCCACTCCCTCCACTCCGTCCTACCTTGCTTCTCTGCCTTTCTCTATTCATCCATCCCACTGTTTTCCACCCTCAGTTAAACATATTCTCTTTATGTTTATTGCTTCATAGGATAGAAATGTGTATGAAAAATAACTACTGCCATATCCAATGTTTAGTGGGTAACTTGAGAGTAAATGCTTGGCAAATGTCTCAGATACTGCTACAGCCTGGATCCTTGGAAGCCAGACGTCGTCACGGTTTCCCGCATTATAAATATACATTGTTTGCATGTGCGATCGGCACTTACAGTTGCCTCTGCTCATTTGTGGCTATATTATGTACCATTCAGTATAGCATCTAAGACGTCAGGAGGTTGTGAGCATAGTTACTTTTGGTGTTATTTACCTGAACACAAGTGGTTCAAATTTTTCAGTGGTCCGGCACTTACCTGGTGCCGTGGGTGCCTGATTATCGAGTTCCAACCTCTATATGGATATACCTACGCTATTTCAGACCCGAAGGAACACCATACTCTGGCGGCTGCTTTCAATTTGACATATTCTTTCCTGCCACATATCCCAAAGTACCGCCGTATGTGAATCTGCTGACGACTGGCAACAATTCCGTACGATTTAACCCAAACCTGTACAAGTAAGTGAGTAATGGATCTTTAGTCTCACTGTAAGAGCAGCAGTTTATCTACGGAAATCACTACGCTGATCAAGTGACTAAATGCAGGCCTTCATTACCTCCGCCAAGGGGTTGGCAGGAGGTTATGTTTTCACCGGCGTGTGTTTGACTGTTTGTTTGTGGGTTTGTTTGTGTACAGCCTAACTGAAAAAGTTATGGACGGATTGTCATAAAATTTTCAGGATAGGTCAGAAATCACATAACTTAGAATTGATGAGATTTTCGTGGTGATCCGAATCCAATTAATTAATTAATTAATTAAATTTTCAGGATAGGTCAGAAATGGGGTAACTTAGAAGTGATTACATTTTTGTGGTGATCCGGATTCAATTAATTAATTAATAAAATTTTCAGGATAGGTCAGAAATGGGGTAACTTAATTTTTAGAATTGATTACATTTTGGTGGTGATCCGGATCCAATTAATTATTTAATTAATTAAATTTTTCACGTAATTAATTAATTAATTAATAAAAAATTTCACAGTGACACAATTCAGCTGCCTTGGCGGAGGTCTGTGCTCTCCGAGTGCTCTAGTTTTATTATATTATATCGGTAAAGAAAAATGGTATTAATTCGGTGTCCAATATGACAACAAACTACTTCAGGGGTAGAAATTAACTTTTGAACAAGGGAGTCCAACGGAGGGTCCAAGGGAGTCCCTGCCCTCAAAAAGAGGGAGTCAGCAGCAAAATGAGGGAGTCCGCAGTCTGAAGTTCAAAACTAAAGCATAACAACAATAACGCATGTGCTTATTTTGAAGATGTATGCGATGCACGTCTGCCACATTTTCTTTGGATATTTTCTGAAAAAATACCGTAATTCCGCGAGGCTGCATGTGCTCTGGAACGAACTAGTAGTATAGCAGAATTTTCAGGGAGTCACACGGACTTCTGCATATGTCAAATCAGGGAGTCCGACAGTAAATCAGGGAGTATTTGACTCCGGAATCCTGTTAATTTCGCACCCTGTTACTTTATGGTTGTGGTGTCCACAAAATAAATTATTATTACTGTACTTATTACTAGTACTTTTCCCCTCCATCCGTACCTCTCTCCCTCACTATATATACTCGGGTATAACACATCCCACGTCTCTCTCTCTCTCTCTCTCTCTCTCTCT